AAACATGAAGTGCTATTTTAGTCTTTTTTATTCTTAAGTGTTATATTTGTGACAAAAACATTTTTAGTGCTATCTTAGTCATTTTCTCAAATTATAAAGTATGATCTATTTCGCACGCAGGACAAGCCACTATTATATGTTGTCGCCAAAATATCACCAAGAAATCAGCAGAAAATACTATTTTTTATAACTAACTATGTCCGTGTTACGCGTGGATTATTTACTTTTTGATTTATTTAGATATGGTCAGATTTCGGTGGTGTTTTGTTTAATTTGATATTCAAACTGATGTAGCAATTTGTATGTTAATTGTATAGTGTGTAATGCATACAATGTATTATCTATTGGTGTCGGTGGGGTCGCATTGTTGATATTTGATGTGTTTGGTTCATGGAAATAGAAAAAAACTTGTCATGTTAGATACGTGTATGGTTTGTAGTTCATCTTTTGTGCTTAATAATATATTGGATAAATGTACAAATTACTAAATATTTATCTGTACGGAAAAGAACATAGAGAAATAGTTATTGTAGAGAAGTGATGGGTGTTATGATTTATGAAGATCGAGTATTAATATATCTGTAAATATTAAGCAAAATATTTGGACCTGCTGAGTCATAGTACTTTTAAATTTGAAGGTGAGAGAGTTGTTAATACCTTATATATAAACTGACATTTTAAAAAGGGAAAATTTATAAAAATACATTTAAATAAGATTATATTTTGAGAAATATGAAATTTATTATTATTTTTGAAAACTATACTTATTTATAAGTACACAAAACTATGTCTTATATCTTATCATGAGAGATCTTGGGTTTAGTTTTTTTTTTCCTTTGCATCTATCTACTATATTTAATTCACAGTGATCTTATTTATCTAACTTATTACCACGTCAAATTTTCAGTCGCTATGTTTAATATTCACAAAATCTGAAGGTTTGATTTGGTGTAGCATTTTTCTTAGGTAGAAGACATAAAAATTAAAAATAGTCATCTATATTTTTACTGGCCTTTGTTACGCATCTAGCAAAATGAATCAACAATGTTGAAGCAAAGCATATTCTTATCCTTACCATAACGAAGAGATTCTAATAGTGGATCCATATGGTTTTTTTTTTTTTGACATCAAACGGCTGATCTATTATTCAAGCAATTTGAGGTGGTCTGGGTAACCAGACGGGAATAGAACAACCAACGTACAAAAGCTTACGATAAAAAGACCTATCTATCCTAGCTAGAGAATCAGAAACACTTCTGTAGTCTAGGAACATAAAAAATCTTGAAGTCAGGAAAGCAAATCTTCAGTGTTATCAGTTTTTCCAGTTCCGTTGAAAAGCTAGGTCATGCATGAGGATTCCTGAGCATTTCGATCATCTCCTTACAATCAGTCCCAAAGCTCTGACATGGCGAATGTTGAAGCATGTTTTTCATTGCCCACCGCAGTGCTTCCAACTCTGAATGCAACGCCGACTCCACTCGATCAAAATTACGCAACCCAATAGCTGGCTATTTCCAGAAGTATCATTCAATACCCATCCACATCCACTGAAGGAATTCGATGAAATCCAAGATCCATCTACCATGTATATGTTATCCAAACTTAAGGCGTGGTCCTCATCTATTTCGTCCTCAAGGGAAGACAGTATATTCTGCTCATTTGCTTGGAACCATGTTTGGCATTCACTTTCTGCATAGCGCGTTACTTCCAGTGGATCCATATGTTTTGGAGAGTCAAAACTAACAGAAACATGATTAAACAACATTTATGTTCCGAAATAAAAGAACATAAGTTTATGTTGTGTACATGTGGCAGCCTGGACTTAACCATCTGTATATCCTCCTATGTAATTCACATTTAAGTTGTAGAAAAAAAAACAAATATCATCAATGTAGTCTATTATATTTTGTGGTTCTATATCCGATAAATTAGACATCCTAAATAAACAAATAGAATATGTACATAATCAAATGTCCCAGATAATTAACAAAAAAAATCAATATTATTATTTAAGAAATGAATTTTCCTACCTCCCATAATTCCCATAATTTTAGATTTACTGATATTTTATGCTTAAGTATTAATTTTTAATAAAAAAACTTTAGTGATTTAGCTGATAATTTATCATTATCATGAAAATAATTATAAATCTAAGGATAATATCATAGTTAAATTATATTATATTTACTCTAGTAATACTAAAATATTATATATATGTTTATATTATATTTGGTTTAGTATTATCAAACCAACATATTTTGTGCTCAACTATTACTTTTAACAAATATTTTTAGTGATTTAGCTGATATTTATACTTATTTTGAGGATAATTAAAAACAGTCTAAGGATAATATCATAGTTAATTTATATTACATATCTTTTAGTAATATTAAAATATTATATATATGTTTATATTATATTTGGTTTAGAAATATTAAACAAAATCTATTTTAATATATATATATATATATATATATACATAAGATAAAATAAATTATCTATATTTTAAGATAATTTTTAGGACAATCCAAATCACTCATTATGATAATTTTCTGAAAATATGAAAAAAATATCAAAAACATTTATACTATTATTTGTGAAGAGATTTTTTTTTTTGCTTTCACGTTAATAATTAGAGAGTTTAAAGTCTTTATCATCCATAATAAATAATTAGATTAGATTTTTATTATATAATTACGCACAAATTTAGAACAAATTTCATTAATTTTATAATCATCATTATCCAAAAACTTATATATTATGTATCCAAAATATTTTACATCATTTAAATATAAGTGAAATAAATATAAATCCACGTATATAGTTTTAAGTATATATAATTTTTTCAAGTTTATTTTACATAGTAAAATGTATTTTATTAAAATATTTTTATCATATTGAAATTTTAATATTAATTAGTTATTAAATTATATGAAAAATATGAAAGTAATTTATTTTAAATACTTTTTAATTTAGTATATATACCGTACAAATTTTTGGTAAAATTATTAAGCACTCAAGTGCAAGCAAAGACTTATTTTTAAAGAATTAATAATTAGATGTCAGTATATTTTTAATAATTAGTTTGGGCACGTGGCCTATTGCGTTATCAGGTGGTCATGGCTCTATAATTTTGACGTGCAGGGCACACATTCTATGGTTTTACTTAATATAGATGGGAATAGTGTAGGGATGTAATAATCGTGATTGATTTTAGTAGTCTGCTGATATTTGTTTTTTGGTAAAATAGTCTGCTGATATTTGAAATTGGAAGTTGATCATTCTTTGGTCTAGGTAGTAGGTTTAACTGTTATGGTTCCTCAAATCCAAGCACAACCCTGTAAAATGCAAACACATTCTTTGTTGATGTTCTTGTATAACACTGTCCTCACAATAGCTCTTAGCAATCCTAACCGGCATTAAGCTTTCCAAATCGTCAATTTCAGAAGAGAGCTAAGAACAAATCAGAAACAAAGATTCTACCAAGATAGAACATCTACTCATAGAAAGTAATCTAACAAAGATTGACATATAGAAACGTAAACTGAGGAAGTAGAAATACAGAAACTCACCGGCCCGAACATTATGTATCCAATGGTCCAAACTCTCATGAGAACATAATTCAGAGTGTTCTCAAGCCTGAAAAATATAAAATTGAAATAACAAACCAAAAGAAAAATAGAGAAAACAAATCTACTGTGGAAATGAATACAGGAAAGGTTCTCATGTGTCCAAGGCGTAGTTAACTTAAATAGGAGAAAAAAAAGGAGCATTGTTATGTCTATGACAGAAAAAAAAAATTTTTGATAAATAGATACCCGACCATCGAGAGAAGAGATCATCACGAAACCCTAGATTTCTCAGGGAAGTTGATTTGTTTTTGATCATCCAAATAGTGATGCTCAGAATTGTCGCTTTGTCCCTGAGAGACCAAGCTTGAAGCGTCTATTTCTTTCAATCAATAAACCATAAATGGTACCATGTCAAAGTTGCATCAGAGCTCCAGAGGAAACCGGAGAGAGAGAAGCAGTAGGTAACCACTGCAATATTAAATCCCAGTCAAGTGGAGCTTGAGAAAAGTTTAACTTCAACAGAGCACGGCTCCAGATTGTGGAAGATGAGGAGCATTTGAAAAAAAAGTAGTCTCTTGATTCAGGTTGAGCCCCACAGAGCAGACAAGTAGTTTCAACATCTAAACCCATCTTTGGAGACGATCCAGAGTGGGATTTCGATCAAGAACAAACAGCCAGACCAAAATAGACTGTTTCAGGACAGAGACTTCATTCCAAACCGACGAAGCCCAAGAAAACAGTAGTTTAGTAATTCTTGTTTCATTCCATAAAAAAACATATTAACATGACAAGCTCATCCAAACAAACCAATACGTTTAAGACTACTAACCTCCTTAAGCCTCATGTGCTTGCGGATACTTGATTTGTCAGGATGAACCATCAAAGATATCTGGTAAATATCCAAATTCGTCTTTTCGGAAAGAAAAAAAAATCAAATTAGTCAATTTAAAATGTTTTCACAATCTGACAAAACGGAAGAATACCTTTGTGTACTGCCGTTTAAAGATAGGTAAGATGCTCAAACGGATTCAGCTTGAAGCATAGAGAATCCTACAGAATTTGAAACTTTGGTAAAAATTCTAACAGTAAAAGATAATTAATTTACTATTATACATGGAATATATATATATATATATATATATATATATGCAAATTATCCACATCCAAGTAATCATATTTGATCAGATCTTCACAAAGCAACGGCATTCTTAAGAGCTAAATAGATGCTTGAAAATAAATAAAAACCATAGATGCTTGAAGTCGAAGCAATGGATATGACTCCTAAAAACCCCACTAAATATCCCGAATCCGAATCAGAAACTCCGATCCAAATCCAACCAGCTAAATCAATCTCCTTCAGCAACGGAATCATCAAACGCAGCCGCCACATCCACCACCACTCAACTACTGTCACGTACAAAGAAAAAAATGCTTCAAGAACCACGCGGCTGCTATCGGAGGTCACACGCTCGACGTTTGCGGCGAGTTCATGCCCCTACCTTCACATCTTCTGATCGAACTTCCCTCAAATGTGCCACCTGCAGTGCCACAGTAACTTCCACCGCCGTGACCCAGACAAATTCCTCACTCACTTCCGACGTGCCTCTACCGTCTCTCCCCCATCTTCCACCACAGCTGAAATAAATTACCAGTCTCACACCGTCGATTGAAATTCTTTGCTTCCCAAAGCCTCAGAAGGCGGAATTAGGCGGTGTTTGAACAGAGTCTTCCAATCAGCGAGAAAAGTGTAAGATTTCTCTACTTGTAGAGTTATTGAACTTTTGGATTTGGTTGCATTGAGGCTGTTCATCGCAGGGACGAAATCTTATTTATAATAAAGTTGCGGACAAGTATGAAGTAAATGGTTCTCACTGTGATAAGGATCAAGAGGTCAGAGTTAATAAGGAATTAATGGAAAGAGGAGCGGTTACGGTGTAGAGATCATGTATCTGCGGCCATTTTCAGGAGGAGGCAAATAGCTACCAACCTAAAGAAGAATCAAAAATGACCAAAAAAATATTAGTGGGCCTTTAATATATCTCGTTAACACACCCACGCTCAGCCCAACATAAAAAATTAAGAAAATCGGTATTATAAACCAAGTACAAACGGAGACGCAAGAACTTATTTTTTCTGGGTTGATTTAATTAGGTTATTGCTGACATGGTTTTTTTTTGCTCCTCTCACAAATGCTGATGTGGATGTATGAGAAGGGAGAAAAACTTATTTTATTGTATAAGATACTGTTTGTAAAATAAAATCTAGCCTTTGATAATAGATAAGTCATATGTGACAATTTAAATGTATAAAAAAGAAGCAAAAATATAACTTGCTAGATATTCAACCAAACCTTTGATTATTGATGATATATATACCCAAAAACAAAACAAACAAACAAACAATTCATTCATTAGACTTTGAAGAAAGAGAGAAAAATCCATTCATGAGAGATATATTCTCTTCAAATACTTCAAGGCAATGCTCCCATGAGCGTATTGGAGGATAGTTTCGTGTATTCAACATCCCTCAGCGACTCAACGTCACTGCCTTGGAGTCTCTTACACTGAAAATAGGCAAGACTGTAAGTCACAAGCTGAAACATCCTCACTGCAAATATCAAACTCACAAGAACCAAACCGGTAGTTAAGGTAACCGCAAACGAACGTCTCAAATCAACCTGCCTCACTACCTGAGCAAAACAAAAGGACAATAAACCAAAGAAAAGATTCAAGAGGAAAAGTTTCGGTTTCATCCCTTTAACGATCTTTGAAGCTTTCCCCAAAGCTTGAATCCCATAAGTTTCCTCGAGTATCGATATGACCAAAGATAGGTACCAAACAATAGCTAAATATGACTCAAACACTGAGAACAGAACAAACAAAGCCCCGGACGTGGCTACCATGGAATCGAGTTTTGTAGATAACAAAAGAAGAGGAAAAAGAACTATGAAGAAGAGAAACCAATAGCCAAGAGCGAAAAGAACAATGTAGGAATAGGTCACAAGAGGTCCCTTCCAAGATTTAAGGGTCAGAGCCGGGAAGTCTTTGATCTTGACGTTGTCATCTTTATGAGTAAGAGCAGAAGCATGGACGATGACAAGAACAGATAAAAGGTTGATGATGGAGGAGACTGCGGCAAAGATGTATGAAGAAACCACAAAATGCCGAAAATCTTCAAAGATTATCATAAGATGGGCTAAGTATTCAGGGTTGCTTGGATCCATCATAGGTATCAAACTTGACTCTTGAATCAAGTCTGTTATCTCCGGTTTGATGGCAAAGACGTTGAACAAGTAAACTAAACCATTGAGCAGTAGAGGAAATACCAAGACCGATAACATTAACTTCTTGTTCTTGAGAAAGAGTTTGCGAGATTCATTTAAGATACCCACAACCTCCTTTAGAACATTCAAGAACGAAGCCATGCCGGTTGCTAGAAGGAAAAAACAAATAAAAAGATTTTGAATATTGGTTTTGGAAATGATGGTGAGGGTTTATAAGATCATACATTCATTAACCATCTGCTTATATAGTACCCATCTTCTTAATTCATTGACCGGGACAAAGTCTATAGAGCCACAAATATCACTTATTTGATCCAAAGTCAAAAGAAAGAAACAAAGACTTAGACGAATTCAAGGTCAAGAAACCGAAACATATTTTAGAAAGGTGTTAAAGAGATAAAACATGAGGTAACATGTTCAAATGTACGTGATCAACATTCACTTCATATTATATTCATGCTGAAGCGCTCAAGCAACACCGTGGAAGAAAAACAAAACATGTACTATAGCTTAATCATCGTTGTCACATTCAACAATAAGAGAAATTAACAATCACACTATTTGACCAAACATTAAAGAAACAAAGATTCAAATATAGGAGCTTTGTTCCCAACAGTATAATCTATACTAAATTAATCAAAATCTGTAGAAAAAAAATATAAAAAAATAAAACATAGTTGAATGAAAACTTAGAACACATCTGGTGCAAGTTTGTTGGTCACTGTATTTGATAATTAACTTGTCAAACATAGGAACTTGGAAACAAATAAATAATTATTAAGTTCTAATTCAATCATAGTTGAAACAAAACAGAACACTTACAAATGTAACACACTACTACTTCTATGGCTAAAACATCTCCACAATTCTCCTTGTTGTTGTGTATCTTCCTCTCTCAATCTAACCCTAGCTCTGCAAACTGGACAAGTCGCGGCTTTGGCAACCAAGTGTCCACACACTTCCGATGGAACACATGTCCGCAACCGGGAAGATTCCGACACCATTGTCCCTGTCTGAACCCATCAAGACAAACCACGCAATCGCTTCCGTACCGTGTGGTGGGTTCAAAGAATTTAAATTGTGGAAGCTCTTTCACGAATCTTGAAGATAACCCATCTGAGGATACGTGTCGGCGGTTACGTCGGGGACGTTGTAAGTGGCGATGGAGAGATGAGAGGAGGAAAGGGAGAAGAAGAACAGATGCGATGCCAATAAGGAGGAGGAATATAAAGAATATTGATATCATGATAACGCCTACGAGGAATAGACAGAGAATTCTTGTTTTCGGCTTTGGCGGCGGCGGAGACGCCGAGGTATACGGTCGCTCGCCGGATATTCTGTTATCATTGGTCGGAGGCATCGCATAACTAAAATTACTCCTTTTTTCCTCTTTACTAGAAACTAACGAGAAAAGCTAAAGCTTGAATGATTTCATTTTCTTTTCGTGAGCTGAATTCTCATAATCAGAGATATTTCTAAGAAAAGAAAATGACGCAATCTAGAAGTTTACAGAGAAACGATCATGTGTCAGTGATTTTTTTTATTGTATTTCTGGGCTTTGGACCAAGTGAAACACTTTTTATATTGTTTTGTTTTGGCTAAATGTCGGAGATTTATTACAGATATGTATGGAAACTATAATAATATACCATGTCTGTAAACATCTTCGTATTCACAAATTCTAAATATTATCTGCAAAAAAAGAAAAATATATTACTAAAGCTCTCTAATAATAATAGGTTGTAAAAAAGATTTAAAACAAAAGATTTTGATAAATGTTGTTACTTTAATAAATGTCGTTAATATCTTATATATTAAAACAGAAATTATGATTTTAATTCATATGTGATTTTTTAAAAAATGAATCATCACTAGAAATTATTACTATATGTATTTCATTAAAACTAGTAATATATAGAATCTTAAAATAAATTAATCATAATGTCTTTTGATATCTTTTCATTTTAAATATAAATATATTTATTTACTTTCAAAAAATTTATTTTAAAAGATTTTTATAAAATCTTCATTTTCGATATTATCTTAGAATATTTTCACTAATTTCAAAATTAGTTTGAAATATTATTATAAATTAATATATTCTATTAAGTTTATAAAATAAAAAATAAAAAATTATATCCTATTATCTATTATATAATCATAATCAATCATATTAAAAGAAAAATATTATATTAAGCTAAACATAACAAATATTAAATTGATACATTTATATATTTTATTTTCGTAAGTACAAAATATATATGTTCAAAAATAAAATCTAATATGTTGGTAAGACGAGTTAACTTTAGCAAACTATATAATACTTGTATATAAATTAACATGTATTTCATTAAAGCTAATAATATAAAATATTCATAACTACTTTAATCATGATATTTTTTCATTTCAAATATAAATATTTATATTTTAAATTGTAAAAATTATTATAAAACTTTGTAAAAATATTTTACAATAATTTAATGTATTTTATGTTATCGTTATAAAATGCAAAATTTAAATTATATTATATTTGATTTAGTTCATTTATCATGTTAAAAGACAATTACTATATTGAAATAAATATGATAAAAAGTGATTTAAATTTATAAATTTTATTTTCATAAATATAATTTTTTAAAAAAAATATATAATATGATGACAGAACAAATTAAAATTAGCAAACTATAAAATACATGTCTAAAAACTAATATATCTCAAACTTTTGTATATACAATAATATATTATCTAAAATGAATAAATATAAAATTACTGGTAAAAGAAAATTCAGCTTTGACGGTCGGGTCAGAATTTATCATAGTTAAATATAAAATAATTTTCAAATATGTTTTCTCATGAATATATTAATTTTCTTGACAACTAAATGCAAATACAATAAGATAAATATATAATAAGTGACATATACATACGGTTTTTGACAATTGGTTTATATAATATATAAATTATAAAACTAGTTGATTTTCCCGTGCTCATGCACGGGTATAAATATTTTTAAATTAAATATATAATAATAACTGATTATTATTTACTTTTAATTTTAAATTAATTTATAATTTGTATGCATCATTGATATTAATAGTATTATATTACTTTACTTATATGTAACTTTATATATGTTATATCTAGTCAATTTTGTTGTTTTACGGTTGGTTTAGTTATCATTTGGATAAATTGGATTGCATCTCTGAATTCAACTGTAATATTTTTAAAATATATTAATTCTTAATTAGTTACTTATTTGCATATGGTGGGTGTTGTCTTAGATATGTAAATATATTTTAGGAAAATTATGTATAACTTAAGATATATTGTGCTTAGAATGAATTAAAAATTAACTAAAGTGTCTGATTCCAAAATAAGTAAATTAATATAACGAAAATATTCTAAAGTCTCATGGATATATATAAATTTTACAAAAGAACTAAAATTGTAAGAGTTGGTTAGTATTTATTTTTATTTGTTAATATGTTTTGAGTTATCATATGATCAATAAAAGGTTACATGCATTTATAAATTCTAAATAACTTTATGCTTTAGATTTATTGAATGTAAACTGAAATTTATTTTAAATAATGTTAAATTGAGAATTCAGATTTGCTTTGATATTTTGACTATCGTTATATTTAGTTTCACAAAAATAAAACATAAAATTTAAAACAATTAATATTAATAAAAGAAATAATTTTATAATGATAAAATATCATATATCTAGCTCATTAGAACAATTATTTTGACCAAACGATGTTTATTGTTAAATTTATTTTTAGTTTTTAATATCTCTTAAAAATAAGCACTACACAAAATTGTGATTGTATTTGAAAATAATATTATATAAGTAAAATATAAGTGTAACACCCGTTTTCTCGAAAATAATAAAATTAATAATAATTACTGAAAACATCGGATTTAATAGTAATACTTAAAAGTCGACATAAACCGTGCCACATAAGTCCAAAACATAAAACGGCCCAAGGCCCAATACATAACATCCGTAATAACGTCAATATCATAAACCGAAAGTCCGAAATAACATAAGCGATAAAAGTCCAAAGGCTTATAAGCCCAAAAACGATAAAATACGATAAAATACGATAAGATAAGATAGAATACTATAGAAGCCCAAAAGCCCAATAGCACCGGTCCGATATGGTCACTCCTGCTGTTCGGTCTCACCTGCAAGGGGAAGAAAGAGGGGTGAGCAACAGGGGAGTCGCTCAGTGAGGTATGGGATGCTACCCCGAAGTCCGTAGACCCGGACATAGCACTCCAAATAAATATAAATTAATTCTAATGCATGTCAAACACGGTACCTAAAGTACCCAAGCAAACAAGCAATGGTCCTAGCGAGACGCGCACTCGCCGCCCACTAACGGGCCAAAAACAACACTTCCCACACTGGNCCGCTCATACAATCCGGCTTACAGAAGTCCGTCTCTGTACCCGGCCAAACAATTCTAGCTATTCATTACATTAAGTGAAGCAATCAATGTTGAATCCTCTAACCACCTAGTTCTGGTTTAAGCAAGCAACCTAAAACTAATCAAGCAAAGACAGACTCGATTTCACGCAGACGGAACACAATAGAAATAAATTATATTTGTTTAAAGTTCTAAGTCGCGTACGAATCGTTCGGAAGTAGACCCTCACCTTAGCAACTGGGGAAATGTGGTATCTATGAACTCCAGCTGCTCAAATAGATCCCAAATCTGAAATCAGATCGAAATTCCGAGTCAGATTGACCTTCGAACGGTTGAAAACGGACAATTTCGGAAAAGTCAACTCGCAGGTCAAAGGTCAACCCGGTCAACCTTGACCCAAGCCGGTCAACCCTTGACCAAATTGAAATCGAATTGGACCAACCGGTTTTCCTTAACCGAATTCGATTTCAATTGAACCAAAACCAAATCAATTTCAGTTCGGTTTATCCTTAACCGATTTCAAATCAATTTTAACCGCCGGTTTAAGTAAACCAACAACTAACCGATTTTGACCAGCCTAAACCGGTTGACCGAGTCAACGGTTGACTCGCCGAGTCAACTCGGCCGAGTTGACCGAGTCGCCGGCGAGTCACCGGACTCCGGTCACCGGTCCGGCGAAAAATGCGGCGGCTTACCGGCGGTCACCGGCGGCGGACGGACGGCGGAGGTGCGGCGGCTCCGGCGAGGCGACGGCGGCGC